GGCAAATAGATACCAAATCTAGACGCTGTAAAGAGAAGCGTTCTTGTTGTTTCGATGATATGACGATGTTTCCTTTCAGCCAGCCCGTTTTGTTCCGGGGTATATGGACAGGAGAGCTGATGGGTAATGCCTTGCCGGGCTAGGTAATCTTTGAACGTATTGTTGACATATTCCGAACCACCGTCGGTTCTCAAGATTCGCACGCGATAATCTGTTAGACGCTCCAACTGAGTTTGAAAATTAACAAAAGTCTGAAACACATCAGATTTATAGCGTAAAGGAAAAATCCATGTGTAGCGAGAGAAATCATCAACGAAAATGACATAAAACTTGAAACCTTGACATGACAATGACGGTGCCGGACCCCAAACATCAGAGTGAATGAGGGCTAACGGGACCGTTTGTCTATTATTAGAGCAATGAAAAACAAGCTTATGAGATTTAGATGCAATACACGCGTTACAGTCATGCAGATGAGTATTTATTTTTAGTTTCGGATTACAATGAGCAATGCAATCTAAAATACGTTTGTGAGGATGTCCTAATCTATGATGCCAGGTATGGACCGCCTTCTTTGAGGCAGTAAGAGCATGATGATGATGAACTGTGGACGCCAATGGAATCTTGTAGAGACCACTATCGCACCGTCCTTGATATAAGATTTGTTGAGTCGCCAGGTCCTTCAACGTGAAACCAGAAGGATCAAAAATAATAGAAATATTGTTATCTTTTGTTAACTGAGAAATTGACAGTAAATTAAATTTAAGAGAAGGAGTATGAAAAATTTGTGATAAACGCAGCTTACAAGTAGGGGTCGGGAGAATGCCCGCCCCAGTATTAGCAATGTTTACCGAATTACCGTCACCAACGGTAATATTATCTTGACCAAGATATGGTTGAGCGATTGACATGGTCTCCATGGTGTTGGTAAGGTGAGCTGAAGCTCCCGAATCCAAGTACCACGAGGAATCCTGTGGATCGGCGCCTGCAATGAGAGCCGTAGCAGAGTTCTTGGTAGAGGGAATGTACTGTGGGTTCAATCGGTGCCAACACGTTTGAGCCGAATGGCCCTTTTTGTAGCAGATTTGACAAAGAATCCCTGCATTTGATTTCAGTCTGCTTGCCGTCAACGGATGCGGTTGTTCAGATACACGAGTAGTGTTAACTGAGATGTTGTCATTCTTGTTTCTTGGGCGACGACCTCTGCCCCTGTATGTAATCAGAGCAAGATTTGGATCGTGAGCCGATGAGTAGCGCGCGGCATCAGACGCGAGGTTAATTTCTTCACTGAGCAGTAAAGGATAGAGTTGATCCAGCGTCAGAGACAAAGAGGTGGTGCGTATTGTAGTCTTGAATGATTGATATTGTTGCGGCAAACCATTTAAGATATAGTGAATGATATCTTCTTGATCCACGGAAGAACCCGCGGCAGCTATTTGATCGACAATCGCCTTGATCTCCGAGAGATAGACAGTCATGGAGTTGTTTTTGAGCGCAACGTTATGAAGTGCGTTCTTCAACTGGATGATCTTTGAACGGTTAGTGGCTTGAAACCGTGTCTCTAGGGCGATCCATATTTGTGCAGTGGATTCAAGCGAAATTACATAGGGAAGAATAGAAGAAGATATAGTAGCGCAGATAGACGCAGAGAGATTTTGATCCATCAGCACCCATTGGGTGTAGCTGGGATTGATTGACGAAGAACCATCAGAATTTTGCAAGAATTGGGAAGGAGGCGGAGCGGTAGGATCAAGAAATTGAAGAAAACCTTTTGCTCTTAAAGTTTTGAGAATTTGAGATTTCCAGATGAGGAAGTTGTCCGGAGCAAGAGGAGACGTCACGAGGTTTCGAAGATTTGAAACCACGAATTTCAGATTGGCCGGAATCGTTGATTCATCGGACTGAGAAGACGCACTTCGATCTTGAAGGCGAGATGAAGCAGTATCGCTCATGGCTTAGGATCGTAAGCCTTTTCCTGATACCATGTAGAAACTAGGATTGCTGAGAAGATAGCATCACAGAACAGGAAAAACTATCTTAGCTGTAATATTATTTCTAACTACATAGCAACATTACCGCCTGCTCTTATATAGAGAGGCAGGTAAACAAGTTTAGTATAATTACAAAGAAGCCAGGAAAAATCTAGATAGAAGCAGTACACCTAAAATACAAAATATATGTATATTCTAATA